AACTCAGAAAAAGAAACGGCAGTCTAGACCTAGTAACAGAAGTGATGAAATTGCTCCGTATTTTAAAGTTTGTGTATAATTTTGCACCTTTCAAAACTCAATGGTGCCAAATGCTCTTAGCAAAAAACATTATTGTTAAAATTACACCTTAACCCTTTAAATAACCATCGTTAAAAACATTTACCACAGCTATTCTGCCAAAGACAGTCGCAGAAAATGGAATTCCACAGCGGTTTTATCAATAACCACCGTGGAAATTCCATTTTCCACGGCGGTTTTTGGTAAGACCGCCGTGTTTTATTTACCTTTCAACGTTGATTGTATCCACTGCGCCTCCAAAACTGTCATGAAAAACCCTTAATAATAGCCGTTAAAAGCCTTTTTTCTGGTAGTGGAGTATGAGGCCAATGACAACCCATGCTAAACCGAATGACAACATGCACAGCATATAGTCACAACCTACACATAAGCCAATCACAACCTGTAGTTGTGTCATTCACAATATGCATAGCAGCCAATGACAACCTACGCTAAACTTAATGACAGCAAGAACAGCAAGCAATTACAACCTATACATAAGCAAGTGACAAACCAGCAGAGGCCAATGACAACCTGCACACAGGACAATAACAACCTTCACACCAGCCAATCACAACATACACATAAGCAATTGACAGCATACATACCAGCGAATGACAACATAGAGTAATAAATGACAACATACAGAGCAACCGATTGCAACATACATAGCACATTGACAATACAACTAACATCAAAGTAAATGAGTCATACCCATACTTACCGTTAAGAAGTACAAGCAACCTCCCACATTTTTCGTCCCATTAGCTTTTCCTTTCTTCTTTCCTTTCTTGAACTCTGCAATTGAATTGCAAAATTCTCTGAAAACTAAACTGCTCCAATCATAGTATCCTAAACTATCATTTGTCCCCACCATAACCCTCAACACTTTATATCACTCACCCATACACTAGAGCTAGGACACAAGAGGACTCCTAATGCATACATAACAAAAAGGAATTCAAACTTTTCATCCTCTTTTCCTTCAATCAACCATCTTCTTATTATTTTGTATGGCACTTTCTCGTAGTCACTCCTTAATTCCTTAAATGTTTCATCTTCAGTCTCCACATTCATTTTAATTTCTTGCCCCTTAAATGGTAGGCTCATCAATTGATTTACATCTCCGGACCCCATTTCATACCTCTTTCCTCGAATTGATATTTTCTTACTTACAGGGTCAAACACACGGATCAATTCACCACAAAAATCTCTATAAATTTGTGAGCAGCATATTTCAACCAATTTATCAAAACCAATCCTTTTCAGCCTTTCCATCTTATCTGTCCTTTACTTTAAGTGCTTGCAAACTTCCATAAATTGTCCCAGAGCACACCGTGTGTGGAAGGGAACAATATAATTCTTCCCTTTTAGTAGGACTCTCATTTCTTTAGCCTTTTCACTATATTGTTCTCTCTCCTATTCTGTTAACTTCCCCCAAGCCTTTCACAGGGTTAGTGCCCTCTTCAAAAGACTTAAACTTCTTCTTGTTCTTCTCATAAAATTCTTCAATAAATAATATATATCTAGAGAAGTTCCTAGGCCTTTGTCCATCTATGCTCTTACTCTTTAGTCATTTTGTTAAATTGCAAAAAGGAAAAAAAATACTGTCATCACATTATAACTTTCCAACTACTTGTCACTTTAAAAGAGGGGTTATTTGTTTTTGGAATGATAAAGTAAATCAATCCTTGGCTTATGTTAGAGTACATTAATAACATGGTTCCATACTAGCAGTTTAATCAACTTTAGTCCTTGAAATTAGAAAATACGTAAATCAACCCTTAAAAATAACAATCTTGTTACAAGTTACTAATTTTGGCATCCTCAGTCTCTTGATAAAAGCATTAAGTACAAATGAGTTTGGTTATTTTTAAATGACTAACATGTGCATTCAGTAATGTTGCCACCATCACAAGGTATTGGTCCGACCAAAAAATTGGTTGAAACATTACTTGAAGGTTTAAAGCATCAACCATTACCACAACAATAAGAACATTCAATTTTGCTTTGATAGTAAAATCTACAAAACATATAAATAAAAAAGAGCAAAGTGAAAAACAAAAAAAAACAAAGAAAACCAAGGCATCTTACAAATTTTTGAGATTATACAGTTTCCTAAGTGATGGAGGTATATTACCACTGAGGGAGTTACTTGATATATCCTTAGAAAATACAGGAATATAATGAATGAATGTGATTTGTCCATCCTTATAACAACATAAATTGGATGAAATGAACCAGAAACTACACTAAAATACTACACTCACAAACTTTTGAGTTGTGATAGGTTTCCTAGTTCATTTGGAATCGCTCCACTTAGGTAATTGCCCTGCAAGAATCTGTACAAGAAAGATTCAAATTATTCTCGATAGGAATCAATCAAAACCAATACAAAAACCTAATATTTCCTATTAACTTGATTTCTAAAAAGTCAAGTTCTATAGAAGGCCAACAGAAAAAATACTATGGCAAATGTCGGTGTGAAATCAATATATCAAAATATTGATATAAAATCTCTATCAAGCTACACTAATCAAAAGTCATGAATAACATGGCTCATCCCTCATATTTTGTGTATTGTATAGGAAAACATGTTTAGCTATATCATCAAGGATTGCGTGCTTAGTTATGATGTTAAATCACTTTAGCATAATTTCTTCACCTACTAAGATAATTATATATAATTTCCCAAGTAAGAGAATTGATGTGGAAAAGGAACAAAATAAGATACATACATTCTCTGCAAGTCAATACAATTTCCCAATTCAGATGGAATTACCCCATAGAAATTGTTGTTGTGAAGGGCACTACAGCATACACAGATTATGATTAAATCATATCCAACAGCAAGCAGTAAAGCACCAGAATCAAATGTCTCGGAAAAATTATACATAATTAAAAGTACATACAGAACAGTTAAATGCTTTAGCCTCCCAAGGTCAGGTGGTATAGATCTGCTCAACTTATGGCGAGCTAAACTCCTCAAATATCACTAATGAAAGTAAAATTAGATATAAGATTAAGAAAAATTTGTCTACCGTAACGCACCTCAAATCTGAGAATCATTTACTAATATAACATGAACTTAGCAAGAAAAGTCATCATGGAAACTCATTATAGTGATAACTCTTGGATTTAGGATCGCATTTCACTCCTCTCCATTTCCATGGGTCAGGATCCTCAGGCCTCAATTGTAACAAGATACCATCTGAGCTAACAACTACTGCTTTGAAACTGAGAAGCGACTTACCTAAATATACCAGTAATAGATAATATCAATATGATATACCAAGAGAGAGAGAGATGCTCGTCGGCGGTTAGGTGCGAAGCTCATTGATGATGGAACCCACGAGGCTCACTAGCAGTGGGGTGTGAAGGTCGTCGATGATGGGGTATGAAGGTCGTCAATGATGTGAGTGAAGCTGGTTGCCGATGGATGTGAAGCTCGCTGCCAATAGATGTGAAGCTACCTGTGCTGTAACGGAAAGCTGGAAACGCGAAGAAGGTGGTCCAGAGGGTTTAAGGTGGGCAAATTATTCACACTCAAATTAACAGGGATAAGTAGGTGATATCATAATTGAAGTTAATTTTCCCAAGGTCCCTGGGGACTTAGGAAGCATTTGGGGAGTTTCAGGGACTTTTTCATAATTAATTGCCTTCTGTGAGACCTGTGTGTAATTTTCCCTTAAAAATATCAACCTTCATAAGGAAATTTTTTAATAGCATTACGAGAGTTGTTAATATCATTATATAACTTGTTAACGACATTGCTAAAATTGTAAAAGTAATACTTTTTGAATTTCTTGGAAAGCCTATTATTAACGGCTATATCAAACTTATTAACAACATTAAAGAACTTGTTAATGGCGTTATTGGACTTGAAAATTTGCCCATTTATGATGTCATTGCTAATTTCTTAAAGTGTAAAAGGATTTCAGATCAAGGGAGTGTTTGGGTAAGATCAAAACCATAGTTTTAAAAGTGCTTTTGCAGTATACGGAGTAAATATGTGGAAGAGTTTGCCTTGATTTGCAGAAAAGTGCTTATTGGGCTTCCCAAACACCCCCTACATGATTAATGGCATTATAATAGTTGTTAATATTATTACATGACTTGTTAGCTGTGTTACTTAAGTTGAAAAAATGCCACTTTTTAAATCTCCTAGAAAACTTATTATTAACGGCAATACTAAACTTGTTAATAACGTTAAAGAACTTATTAATCGCATTACTCGACTTAAACAAATCTAAAAAAAATGGTTGCTGCCAGAGCTTCGGTGAAAAGTTCTTAGATCACGTGATTAATGGCATTATGAAAGTTGTTAATATCGTTATATGACTTGTTAATCGTGTTACTTGAGTTGTGAAAATGCTACTTTTTGAAATGTTATTTTTTTAAATTTCCTAGAAAACATGTTGTTAATGGCGATACCAAACTTGTTAATAACATCAAAGAACTTATTAATCACGTTACTAGACTTGATAAAAATTCCCAAAACTCTAGTGACTAATCGTCAACTAGCCGTTAGAGCTTTAATGATCGGCAACCCATTAAACTCTGGTAGTGGCTGTCGATGCTAGAGCTCCAGCAACTAGCTGGCTTGTGAAAGTGATTAATGGTTTTTTTTTGGGGGGGAAAAAGATAATATAGTCATTTTAGCAAATTTAAAAATTTCAATTTGGCACGCTACTCCTAAACTGAAATTTTGTTTATTGAGGTGGCCGTTTGAGAATTTTTAAATTCAACAGTAATTTTTTTGGAAATTTTCCTTTTTATTTTCAGAAAATAATAAAACCAATTATCTAAGAAAACCCCCCCTTTTTTTTCCCTGCAAAGGGCAAAAAAAAAAAAAAAAAAAAACAAGGACGGAGGGGCAGTGGACAGCCGCGGACGCATTACGCATGGGGTAAACGGCGAAAAGCTACGCCCGGACTGCGAGGGGTTAACGTGGGAGACTTTCGTCATCGTCGTTCTCCGTTGTTCCTTCTCTGTCTTCAGCCTTTTTGCGGTGGCCTCTATCGTTGTCCGTAGTCGGGGGTTGCTTAATTGCTCCGTCGTGGTTTTCTGGTCTCTAGTCCTCTTTTAATTCGTTGCTCCATTGATACTATTCTTCTCACAATCTCTCTCTCTGTTTTTTTGTTTTGTTTTAAATTGTATAGTATTTCTGTTTAATCCGTTTCTTTTTAGTCTTTGATTTTCATCTAAAATATGTTTGTTTTGCTGCTGCTCGCTGCTCTTGTTCTTTCTAGCGGTACTCCTCTTGTTTTTCATCTGAACGATAATTCATCATTCTTGAATCCTATTATGCATGATTTCCGATTAATGTTCTGCTAGCTGAAATATCTCTTGTGAATGACTATGAATTTTGTGAATATTAGGTGCTGGTAATGCTAATGTGAAAGCCTGAAAGATTCTAAATGAGTAGGGATTTCTGATTCAAGTTTATGCTCCATTTGGTTCTGCATAGTGGTTCTTTCTGATTCTTGGAAGCTCATTGGATGATAAATTTGCCTATTTGGTGCTGCTAATTCTAATATGAAGAATGCGCTGTGTCTTTGTTGTTTGACTATATATATTTGATATTCTCTGGCCCTCTCTGACCTTCTCACTGCTATACAGAGGTAGCATAAATATGCAATTGGGCCTCGTTAGTTGTAACTGCTAGAGTACATATACTGCATGTGTGTGCAGTAATTATGTCATTGTGTGTGATAATGGTGTATCTATGTGCATTCTTATACTTTGTGTAGAAGATGTTGAATCACGAATGTTAAGAATAAACTAATCAGAAAAATGATAACGAGGATGAGGCTAATATTTTGTTAGAATGACGGACTTATATTGATATAGAAATATGAAAATTGATATTTTAAGATAGGTTCTCCTGGTGAATAGAAAGATCTTTCTGAAGCTTTTGGAGAATTCTTTGTGCAGCTAGATTTTTATATCAAGCCATGTCAGTCCTGATTACATCTCTCATGCATATTTGCGGTTAATGTATGTACTGTTTTGAGTTAATGTTCCATGATTTTGTAGGAAATAGTTGTGCTTTTGTATATTTTTCCCTCTTCATTCCTGAAAGTGAGGCTGCCGCTTTGTTGTGTTGTGTTTTCGAAATGGAGTATGTTGGATTTTATATTGCCCATCTGTGTCCTGTTTGCACATCCCTTCCCTTATAATTGGAGCTCCTTGATTTTTTCCCCTTTTCTTTGTTCTTCAAATTAGAAACTTGGGACGTGAGTTATTTGATTAGCACTGTAACTGTTGAATGGCATGTCCCATGTTATTTATTATTTACTTATTATTCTGTTTATTAGTATTTTATCTCTTTAGTTTATCCTTATCAAGTCAGATTTGTTTTTAATTTATTTTATTTTATCCTTTAAGGGATTTAGATAGATTTTAACCTAGTTATCTTTGTTGGGGGCATTCTTGTGGCCTCAATTATGTCTATATAAACACTAGATATCCTTTAATAAAATCATGGGACTAAGAATTATTAACTCAGCCGCTTTTCATGATTAAGTGTACTCTATTTGCATAGAAAGGCGTTGACTGGATGGATAAGTAGTGAAATTAATCCTTTATTTTGTAGAACGTCCTAGCCTAGGCAAGGAGTGGTGGATGCTGCATCAAGTGAGCGACTAATGAGGACTTCATTTCTTGTAAAGTGGTCTTATGCTTTGCTTACTTCCAAACAATGAAGGGCTGGGTCATCAACAATAGGGGATAAAGGGTATTTTCATGATTGGTGACCTGCAATTTTGGGTATGACATTCAACCAAACCAGTTCAGTTAATTGGTTTTTAGGAATTGATATTTCTTTTTGGCCCTTTTTCTTTGACTGTTATTATTTCCATCATTAATGCAATACGAACTTGGATATATTTTTATGGAAAAAAAAGAAGTACAACGAAAGAAGAAAACATCATGGAAAAAGTGATTTCTTCTTCTTCTTCTTTTTTTGGTTTTTGGTCAGGATTTCTTCAAACGTAAGGGAACAAATTGGTGTCCATTCTTTTCATATACTGAGAAATTCAGCATAAAAGCACTTGGCACCTACTAGGAAAGTGAGTTGATAGTTCCAAAGAAGGAGCTCTAGAGGATGATGTTCAGTTTGATAATATTTAGGGGTTAATGTGCAATTTTAACAATAAAGTTTTCTGTTAAGAGCATCTAGCACCATTAAGTTTTGAAGGGTGCAAAATTATACACAATCTTTATAAAACAGGGCAATTTTACCATTCCGTTAACTGTGTTAAACGTCCGTCACCTTTTAGTTCAGTGGGTCCCACATTTGTGCACATTTCCTTTGCTTTTCCCTTCCCTTTTCCTTTGCCTCACCCTTCTCTCTCTCTCTCTCTTTCTTCGCTCGCCTGACATACTTATTCTTCTTATTCTCCATCTTTCTCTCTCCTCTCTTCACCTCATTTAAATTCTAGTCTCCCTCCCGACTTTCTTATCAAATAACAACAAGTGCCAAGCAGTCAAAACAAATCCCAACCATAAACAATTTTTAATGGCCTTCCTCACACCAAATACAAAACAGAGGACTCTCTTTCACAGAAGGAAATTTCTTTCAATAAAGAACACAGTTTAGGTCCTTTTCCACTCACCTGGCACGTCCTTTGTACCTTGGAGCTTGATGAATAAAGCTAAATAATTCAAGAATTATGGCAGTCCAAGCAGATTAATTCCAAACAATTGGAGGCCTAACCATCTTTCTAAAAACTATCCTTTGATCATTCCTTCCAACTACATCAACCAAGCTTATTACCTTGATTTTTCTCCCTCGTCTCGTCAAACAAGCTCAACAAAATGTGGTCGGCCGCCTTCCAACTCGTTAGACCACATAACATCTTGTTTCCTTGCGTTGCCTCCTTTGTTCGCAAAGTCGATGGCCTCCAGTGTCGATGCCTCTATCTCCTTCTCAGATGCATCAAATACAATAGTGCACACTCTCCCCCCTTAAGCTTCTCATGGAGAACAGTCATTTGGTTCTTGAATTCTAAGTTGCTGTTGCCAGAGGAAGAGGAGATGAACTTGAAAAGGGGAGAGAGATAGAGAATTGAGTCTGATTTGTTGGGGGGAGGAATTGACATAAAGAGAAGGAGGAGAGATAAAATTTAAGAGGGTGATGTATAATGTTTTTAGTGAAAGGATTATGCTGAGCCAGACAGATAGACACATAGCTGGACCCACCTTAGAAAAAGAAACGACCGTCTAGACCTATTAACAGAAGCGATGAAATTGCTCCGTATTTTAAAGTTTGTGTATAATTTTGCACCTTTCAAAACTTAATGGTGCCAAATGCTCTTAGCAAAAAACATTATTGTTAAAATTGCACCTTAACCCTAATATTTAACACTATAACTTTTGAACTTTTCCTGTCTCAAAGAAAATTTACTTATTCTTATTGAGGAAATAGTTCCATTCATTGTAACTTCTAAGCAGTGCAATATGTTACATCAATATATTTTATATTTTTGTTTTGGTGGTTTTTTTTCGTAAAGGGAGATATAAATTATTGATGTAACAGTTTATTTTATTATGCCTCCTCTCCTGCCTTCCCTCCCTTGGGAAGCACATACACTTGCAACCACAAAAACTTGATGGTATGCTCTAAAGTTTAGACGGTAGAATTTGAACATTATTCAATCTTGCTTTCAGTGATTTAGGTAGATTTGTTGGAAAGCAGTCCTTGGAAAGGATGATTTCATGTGAACTTTGAACATGCTCTGATTTCATAGTCCTGCTCAGTTCAAGTAATGTTCTTTTGTGTGCACCTTAAATTCTGCTGAAATATTAGCTGACAAATTTGTTTTTTCTGTCTTTCTTGACCTTTGAGTTGATTTTCCTTAGGGATTTCTTCTATTTCTTCATGATTATGACATCTGGAAATTTTGTAACCCAGAGTTAGCCTGTGAAGAAAATCAATGATACTTCAAGGATGCCATGTGAGGAAAACAATAAGAAAACAAAAGGAAGGGCATGAGAGTTTAGACTATGATCTGAAATGAAGGGACGAGGTCAAAATTTCACATCATTCACAAATTTATTTGCATTGCTCAGCATAACTTCCAATAATGCCTGTATACAGTCATACTTTTCTTTTGCTCATTAAGTCACACAAGTTCTCTACCTCAACACATGGTGGAAAACTGACCAAGAGAGCGTGCATTGGCCTTCTCAAAGCTTGCAAATCAATGTTCCACCTCAAGCAAATCCAGGCTCAGATGTTTCTTGCGGGTCTACATGAAGACTTGGACACCCTCGGCAAACTTATGGTCATCTGTACTGACTCATCTGTTGGGGACTTACACTATGCATGTAGAACCTTTAACTACCTTCACAAGCCATCCTTGTTTATATACAATCTTATGACCAAAGCCTTTGTGGAAAAGAGTAGTTTCAGAGAAGCCATTTCCTTATTTAGTCAACTGAGAAAAGATGGTTTATGGCCAGATAATTATACATATCCATTTGTCCTCAAGGCTATTGGTTGTATTGGACAGTTTAATGAAGCTGTGAAGGTTCATGGCTTCATAGTGAAGACCGGGCTTGAGCTTGATACTTATGTTTGTAACTCACTAATGAGAATGTATGCAGAATTGGGTAAAGTAGATAGTTTTGAAAAGTTATTTGAAAATATGTTAGAGAAAGATAAGGTTTCTTGGAATATCATGATTACAAGTTATGTAAAGTGTAGGAGATTCAAAGATGCCATTACTATTTTTCAGCGGATGCTAGAAGAAAGCAATGAGAAGCCTGATGAAGCTACGGTGGTAAGCACTCTATCAGCCTGTACAGCATTAAAAGATTTGGACCTTGGTAAGGAAATTCACAGTTATGTCTTGAGTGAATTCCTTTTAACAACTATAGTGGGCAATGCATTAGTGGACATGTACTGCAAGTGTGGCTGCGTAAGTATAGCTCAGGAAATTTTTGATGAGGTGCCTATGAAAAATGTGATTTGTTGGACAAGTATGATAAATGGGTATGTGACTTGTGGTCAGCTGGATGAAGCTCGAGATTTGTTTGAGAAAAGTCCAACGAGGGATATTGTTCTTTGGACAACTATGATTAATGGCTATGTGCAATTCAATCGCTTTGATGAGGCAGTTGCATTATTTCAAGAGATGCAAATGAGAAGAATCAAACCAGATAAATTTATTGTTGTTACTCTCCTTACAGGTTGTGCTCAGTTGGGAGCCCTGGAGCAAGGGAAATGGATTCATGGTTACATAGACGGGAACAAAGTGACATTGGATGCCGTGGTTGGTACTGCCCTCATTGAAATGTATGCAAAATGTGGTTGCATAGAGAAATCTTTGGAGATTTTCTATAGGTTAAGGGAAAGAGATACAGCCACATGGACTTCTATTGTCTGTGGTCTTGCATTGAATGGTAAGACAAGCAAAGCCCTTGAGCTCTTTCAAGAAATGAAAAAATTTGGGGCTAGGCCTGATGACATCACCTTTATTGGTGTTCTAAGTGCTTGCAGTCATGGGGGATTGGTAGAAGAAGGGCGTAAGATCTTTTATTCCATGAAGAGAACATATCAAATTGAGCCCAAGGTGCAACACTATGGGTGTTTCATTGATCTTCTTGGTCGAGCTGGACTGCTACATGAAGCAGAAGAGCTAATTAAGAAGTTGCCAGATCAAAAAAATGAGATGATAATTCCACTTTATGGATCTCTGCTGAGTGCCTGCAGATTTTATGGCAATATTGAAATGGGCGAAAGGATTGCTCAACGACTGGGAAATATTGAATATAGTGATTCCAGTTTGCATACGCTTTTGGCTAACATTTATGCTTCTGCTGACAGATGGGAAGATGTGAGCAAGGTCAGAAACAAGATGAAAGACTTGGGAATCAGGAAATTTCCTGGATGTAGTGCTATTGAGGTGAATGGCATTCTCCATGAGTTTCTTGTTGGCGACCCATCTCACCCTGAAATAGGTCACCCTGAAATAAGAGACACATATTCCATGCTGGATGCAATAACTAAACCCTTGTTTGGTTCAGAAGTAAATGAGATGGAAACAGAAATTTTATGTCTAATGAATTCTTAACTGCGAAATTGTGGTTGAGGAATATCAGTTTCCTGTCGAACTAAGGATCAGGTCTAAGAGATTGAAAATGTTTCTTGCCATTTTTTATGGTACAGCCAACCTGCCACAAGCATGGAACCAATTTAAAAATCCTCTCTGGGAGGATGCATGAAGTGTTGAAGAATGAAGTCTTGGATAAAAGTTTAAATGCTATTTGTGGATGAGTTTTGGACTGAATATTTTCTGTACTGATTTGTTGTTAGATTAATCTTCAAAACTTATTGAAAAGACTCGTCTTTCAAACATTGATAAGCATATTCTAAATCTAGCAATCCGTGCCAGTCATGATGGAGGAGAGCCCAAATATAAGCTTCATCTCAAACTTTTTCCTTAGAAGATCTTCCTGGCTCCCCTGTAGCAAGATAATTCTATCATCTAAGAGGCCTGCTTTAGGGATCCTTGGAGCGTTAACCAGATGCCTCAGATTCCTTACTCATACATAATGAGAGCCAGATGTTCTCAAGTGAGTCTTTCCTCTCTTAGCTTTTACTTCTACTTAAATTTGTTTCTTCAGAGGACGAAATGATAACACATAGATCTTAAGCTATATGATGTTTCAATTGGTTTGATTTCCTTGAAACCATATTAGCCAATTTCGTTTTCATTTTCAATTGTTTAGGCAGCGATGTATTGATGTATATAACTTGATTAGTTGTATGAATCGCTCATTGATTGATCTTTCTGCTCATTCCCTCCCTATCTTTTTGCAGAATATAATACTATTCAATTCTAGCCGTTTTAACTGTGATATTATATCTTTCTTGATCTGATATTTCAATTAGTTTTGATTCTTTGAATCCACATGCAGTTCTAACTATTTAGGCAGTAACATTTTAGTTCTCAGTCATTTGTATGAATTGCTTGCTCTTCCCCCGTTATCTTTTGCACAACATATTATTCAATCAATTTTGTTTAGACTGCGATATTATATTGTTCAATATCTGATGTTTCAATTTGTTTAAGCCAAATTTAGTCTCCAGTTCTAAGTTTAACCAATTTCATCATATGTAGACTAGACCAATCAATCAACCTATAATAATAAATCAAAATCAATGATCAGCCGGTTCATTTTCAGATCCATGTCGGCTCCTCACTCAAAATACTGTTCTATGAACAGTAACAGCTTATAAACAGTGCCAGCTCCCGGCATCACTTTTTTTTTTTTTTTTAGAAGGATGTTCTCATCTGTCATTTTCTTAGCCTACTACACCTACTCCCCTGTTCAAATTCAAAATTGAAGCTCTATTAATTTGTTTCCTTTTCCCCTCATTTTCTTCTTCTCTTCACCAATGCCGGTGAGGGACCCCCCGGGGGGAGAATCTTCTAGAAGCTTCAAGCAGTTTCTCCTTTGCTCAAGTTGTTGCTCCTCTCGTGAAGGGAGAATTTTTTTTTTTCCTCCCCCATATATGATGCTCTGCTCTCACCCTTTGTATTTGTAATCTCTCCTTGTCTCATCTATTTTTCTCTTTCTTTTTCATTTCTTCTCTTTGTTGGCCGAGAGATCAACTAGAGGGGTCTTCAACTTCATCTCCATTTTGGTTGATTGATTGATTGATTTCTGACCTACAACTTCACTACTTTGGCTTTAAAGGTGGGATTTCTCCATGGTCTTTTCTTATCATGAGCATTTTTTTTCCCTTCCATTTCTTTCGTGCTTATTCTACTTTATTCTTCTTCATCCTATATTTCCCACCATTTTGTCTATTTATGCTTCATGATTCTCATCGGGTATGATTTTTGGAACCCTCAAGCCGTTGATTTCAACAAAACAATTTTAAGGAAGGAAAAGAAAAAAGCAACAATACTTGAATGGTTCATTAAAATGCTGTGTGTGATGCATATATGGTGTGAGGGAAGTTTGAAAAATGCAAGTAAATAAATTGGAATGACAAGCAATCATTTGCATTAACTTTTGCAAATTTTTCATTTCATTCATCATTCTCCATAACTTCCACTCATAAAATAATGTTCATAGAACAGTATTTTGATTCTCATCTGAAAATGAGCTGACTGGTCATGGATCTACATTAATTATGGCATTGCTTGTTGTTTTGTTTTTCTTTTTTTCCCTCTCAAAATTTAAGTTTTAATTATATCAGAACCTTCCTTCACGTGGAATTAAACTTTGTCAACAAAATAGCAAAAAAGAGGACCATGATCGTGGAAGTACACTGGATTTGAGAGCCATTTTCATTCACAAGCATGGAGGTACATTGAAACACACATTGAAACACAATTTTCAATATATTATCATTCATTGGGGAATGAGAGTGGCTGAGCATTGCTAATAGGTTGGTAGTTGAATTAGCCTTTTCTCCAAGAACTTTAGAGACGGAGAATCTTTTATACGCTATTATGATCAGCTTTTTGGTCATTTCTCTTCATGTTTTGAGGAGATAGCTGTTGTGTTTCTTGATTATCTAATATATATATTTATGATATTATCCAGTTCCTTATTTCATGTTTATATATGTTTGCAGCTAGACTGGAGATTTACAATTGATATGCAGTTACATCAACGATCACTAAAATTTAACAGCAAAAGGATCCTCAATTTTGGGTGAGATCTTGGCTTGCCAACACATTCCAACTCTATCAAAGCTATGGTGGTCCATAAATTCATAATTGTGATGGTTATGTTTCAAATGATGTGGAGGCATTAGTAGGTTTAGATATTAGTCCGCAAATTCAATAAAATGTGGTGGCGTTTTCCTTTTTTTCTAAAAAAATTATTTATGGAGACTAATCGAATTTTCAGGGGTTTCATATGTATACTTTTTTTAATGTATTTGTGGGACAGGTTTTGATCAATAGAGATGTGTAAATAATTCTCTCATTTCAATTTATTTTGGTCAAGCAATTTTTGCTATCAAATGTGATAACCACATTTTATATATATTATACTTTGCGTCCCCAGTGCATGATGTTCTTTCTACATTCTACATTTTCTCAATGATATGATTATCATTGTTTCAATGTCTTGCTTAGTTTTTCAATAAACTAATCTAAGTTCAGTAAAAGGTGTCAAGTTAATTTTTTTTTGTTTCAAACTATGACTTCTTTAAACAGGCACACAGGTGTGTATGTAAAGTTGATGGGAAAGTAGTTTTTAGTGTGAAGTTGATTTTAGTTATGCCAATACGCTACCATTAAATTTTTTGTGCTTAGGTTGAGCATTAAATTTTTTCAGCCATCTAATGGAAGATTATAGTCACAAAATAACTATTGTAATTATAACTTGGTCCCGAGATGGTTGATGGACAATGTATGGACCCTGTTCATTAAAATTTAGTCACGTTTTTGGGATCATGAAGGTGCAGGAGGCGTGTGAGAAAGGCATATGTCATAGCAGTCAGCAATCTTTATCTAAAGCATTATTTATTTAAGTCAGTATTCAGCCCCTTTTTTCCACTTTATTGAAAGTGTCAAATTGTGTCCTATGTCAGAATTTTAGAAAATAAGTTGACCTTGCTTGCTATGTGAAATGAAGGAAGGTAGGTTGCTTGTATTCTTTATATTTGTTTAAGTTGTAGCAAAGGTGGAAAAAGCTGATTGTGGTTGCAAGATAAGTTATTATTGTAGTTGTGGGATAAGTTATGTTTCAGAAGCACATGTGTGCAGTTATTATAGCCGGAAAAAATTAGATGTGATCTGTCTTAGGATTTGAAGCACATTTTGCTGCCACACGCATTTAACAAATTATATTTGAAGACATTGTGTTTATTGAATTTGAAGAAGACGAGACAGGGGAGACAATTCTTCTGTATGTTTTATTCAATCTGAACATCAACATATATACAACAAACCGAATCTGGACCCACAATGGTGAGGTTGAGAATCATGCGATTACAATCAAGAAATCATTTATAGTTTAAATTCTATGCTATTTACAATTAATTCCTAGAGATCTGCCTAACATATCGGGGTTCCTATTATATCGGGATTTCTACACTCCCCCTCAAGTTGGATCATAAATATTGAACATGTCCAACTTGCCAATGAAGTATTCAAATTTGTCTTTAGCCAATCCTTTTGTAAGAACATCTTCAGTCTGCTCTCTGGAGGGTATGTTTTCTAATCGGATCACCCCATTATCAATCTTTTCTCTTATGAAGTGCCTATCTATCTCCACATGCTTGGTTCTGTCATGTTGAACCGGGTTATGAGAAATATTGATTGCTGCCATACTGTCTGAATATAGTGTTATAGGTAGACTCATGCTCATTTTGAGTTCTCTGAGTACTCACTTCAACCATATGCCTTCACATATCCCAAGTGCAATAGCTCTAAACTCAGCTTCTGCACTGCTTCTAGCCATCACACTTTGTTTCTTACTTCTCCATGTGACAAGATTGCCCCACATATAGGTGCAGTACCCCGAGGTGGATCTTCTATCGTCTTGGTCACTTGCCCAATCAGCATCTGTAAACAGTTCTATATTCTTCTTGTAAGATTTTTTAAAAAGGAGAGCTCTTCAGATATCTAATCTAAGTATTCGATAGACTTCATTTAGATGCTTCTATTTAGGGTCATGGGATTGTTGGCTGACCATACTAACTGCAAAGGCTATGTCAGGTCGAGTGTGTGAAAGATAAATGAGTTTTCCCACCATTCGTTGATATCTCCCTGTATCTACAGCCTTTCCCAAGTCATTCTCGTCACTTATCTTGTCCACCCTTATGGGGGTATCACTTGGTCTACACCCCACAATGCCTGTCTCTTTCAAGAGATCTAGAATGTACTTCCTCTGTGAAATATAAATTCCCTTTCTTGACTTGGAAACTTCCATTCCAAGGAAGTATTTCATTTTCCCTAGATCCTTGATTTGAAACTCTCGGGCCAGTGCTTTCTTGATTTGATCAATTTCTGTTAGATCATCTCTTGTAAGGACAATTTCATCCACATACACAGCTAGAACTGCTATCTTTTTACTCTGATGTTTGAAGAATAGAGTGTGATCACTTTGCCCTTGGGTATACCCTTGTCTCTTTAGGACTCGAGTGAATCGTTCAAACCACACGCGCAGGGATTGTTTTAGTCCGTATAGTGATTTTTTGAGTCTGCAGACTTGTTTTGCACTCTTTCCAGGGAACCTAGGAGGCATCTTCATATACACTTCCTCTTTCAGTTCTCCATTGAGGAATGCATTTTTTACATCTAGTTGGTGCAATGGCCAATCCAGATTTGCAGCTAACGATAGTAAGACCCTGATTGTGTTCAACTTTGCCACTGGTGCGAATGTTTCTGTATAATCCATTCCATAGACCTGAGAGAAACCCTTTGCAACAAGTCTCGCCTTGTATTTGTCAAGACTTCCATCTGCCAGGTATTTAGGGGTGAACACCCATTTGTAGCCGATAGGTTTTTTACCCTTTGGTAGATCCACCACATCCCACGTTTCATTTTTTTCCAGCGTTGCCATTTCCTCCATTACTGCTTGTCTCCCTTCAGGAATGGCAAGTGCTTCATCTATATTATTCGGTACTCTAAGGCTGTCAAGGTGGGAAACAAAGGCGCAGTATTTAGGAGAGAGGGCCTTATAGGAGACAAATCTTTCTATGGGATGTCTGGTGCAATTTTTGGGTTTTTTTCTGACTGCAATAGGTAAGTCAAGATCAGTTTCCATTTCCCCATCATGTACTTGTTCAGTATCAATCACACTTTGCTTTTCTCCTGCACCTGCCACCGGTTCTATTTCTTGACATGTGCTAGGTACCTGAGGGGCCTTACCTGTCTTGTTCTTACGTGTATAAACCTTTGAAGGTTTGGTGGTGTCTCCCCCTGGATTAGGCTTTTCCTTTGTGTGTGGCACATCCTCACACTCAGTTTCCTCAGATGTGGGTGTTTTGGGTGAAGGTTCATGAGACTTAGGTTCAAGAGGTAGTTGGTGTTTGGGTTCAATTGTGATGTCATTTACGGTGGGTGTATGCAATTCACTCCAACTCTCCCCCTGAATTGTAGATTGAGAGTAGAATGGAACACTCTCATGGAAGGTAACATCACATGTAACAAAGAGTCTCTTAGTAATCGGGTCGTAACATTTATAACCCTTCTGGGAGGCGAAGTACCCTAGAAAGACACAGTGGACAGCTTTGGGATCAAGTTTGTTGGTATGGTGGAGATGGACATAAGCTGTGCACCCAAACACTTTTAACGGTAATGAATTCTCAAGGTAAGGAAGATTGTAGTGGTCGTGAAGGACTTGTAAGGGTGTTCTATAGGAAAGAGGTTTGCTGGGCATGCAATTGATAAGGAATGAAGCAGTGAGGATGGCATCATCCCAATGGGATTTGGGGACATGACTGTCAAACATGATGGCCTGGGTAGTCTCAAGGATATGTCTGTTTTTCCGTTCGGCAATGCCATTTTGTTGTGGACTGTAAGGGCAAGAGTTTTGTGAACAATGCCATGTTGTTTGAGGAAAGTAGAAAGGGCATTATTGAAGTATTCAGTGTCGTTATTGGTGTGAAGGATTTGGATTTGTGTTTGAAATTGAGTTTGGATCATATGGTAAAAATCGATGAAGGTCTGATAGACAACAATTTTGTCTTTTAACAAGAAAATCCAGGTAACTCGTGTGTGATCGTCAATAAACGTGATAAACCATTTTGAGTGGGTACGATTTGGTACACGTGAGGGACCCCACAAGTCACTATGTATTGTTGTGAAAGGTTTGGATGCATGATATGGAACACTTGGAAAGGAAGTGCGTCGATGTTTGGCAAGCTCACAAGAGTCATAATAAAATGGGGTGCAATTTTTATTAGAGCAAATAGAAGGAAACATTTGAGACATATAATGAATATTTGGGTATCCTAACCGTTTGTGCCATAACTCCAATTCACTAGTCCTAGGGAGAGACACTTTATTACATGAACTAACACGTTGATTATTACTTTCATCCAAGTAGTAAAGCCCATCAAACACCTTCGCAGTGCCAATCGTCATCTCCGTCAACAGGTCCTGAAAAATACAATGAGTGGCAAAGAAATTAGCATGGCACCGTTCATCTTTGGCCAATTGGCTTACAGATATTAAATTACACTTTAAATTTGGCACATGCAAAACAAAGTGTAGTGTGAGAGTAGCAGAGATTTTAACACTCCCAAGGCCTGCTACTTTAGAATCAGAAGCATCAGCTATCTTAATTGTAATCCGTGTTGTGATTGGGGTATAGGATGAGAATAAAGAGACATCATTAGTCATGTGATCAGATGCACCCGAGTCAATTATCCAACAATTTCCAGAACTCATACCTTTAATGGTGGCTAATGCCTTGAAGAAATTACCTCTTTTGACAATGGTTGCCGTGGGTTGTTTTCGTGGGTGTTGGTTACTCTGTAGAGAAGTGAGTACTTCTATAACCTTGCTTAGTTGATCACTGAGTTGAGCAAAAGTGCTGGGGTTACCTTCTTTGGTGACTTCGGCAACATAACCCCGACCCCGACTCTTCTTGGGTTTCCAATCTGGAGGTTTTCCATGGAGGTCCCAACATGTATCCCTGGTGTGACATGTTTTCTTGCAGTGATTGCATGTGGGACGAGGTTTGTTATTACGCTGTTCTAAACAGACAACGAGGGCAGAGGACTCCACTGTAGGGATTAGCGGAGAAATTTGTAGAGGTTGGTCCCCCTTCAACATCACCTTTTTCCTTGAGTCTTCTCGCTGCAATATAGCGAATGCCTCACGGACTGAGGGTAAGGGCTCCTGACTTAGAATGCGCCCTCGGACATCATCAAAGGATGTTTGAGGCCTGCAAGGAGTTCAAACAAACGCTCCTTCTCTATCTTCTTTCTGGATTTTATAGCATCATCAGTGCAGCTCCATTCTTCTTCACTCATAAGATCTAACTCCTAGGGGTCTTCTCGAGATAATATTCACTTAGGCTTCAGGTGTCTTGTTTCAACTGCCA